GTCACCCATCACTAATCCATGTCCTTCCATAGGGAATGGGACAAGGACCCCCTCAGCTCCGTGTCATCCATCACTAGCCCATGTCCTTCCATAGGGAATGGGACAAGGACCCCCTCAGCTCCATGTCATCCATCACTAATCCATGTCCTTCCATAGGGAATGGGACAAGGACCCCCTCAGCTCCGTGTCACCCATCACTAATCCATGTCCTTCCATAGGGAATGGGACAAGGACCCCCTCAGCTCCGTGTCACCCATCACTAATCCATGTCCTTCCATAGGGAATGCAATAAGGACCCCCTCGGCTCCATGTCATCCATCACTAGCCCATGTCCTTCCATAGGGAATGGGACAAGGACCCCCTCACCTCCGTGTCACCCATCACTAATCCATGTCCTTCCATAGGGAATGGGACAAGGACCCCTTCAGCTCCGTGTCACCCATCACTAATCCATGTCCTTCCATAGGAAGAGGACAAGGACCCCCTCAGCCCCGTGTCACCCATCACTAATCCATGTCCTTCCATAGGGAATGGGACTAGGACCCCCTCAGCTCCACGTCATCCATCACTAATCCATGTCCTTCCATAGGAAGAGGACAAGGACCCCCTCGGCTCCATGTCATCCATCACTAATCCATGTCCTTCCACAGGGAATGGGACAAGGACCCTGTTCACCCCTATATCACCCATCACTAGTCCGTGTGCTTCCATAGAGAATGGAACAAGGACCCTGCTCAGCCCTATATCAACCACCACTAATCCATGTGCTTCCATAGGGAATGGACAAGGACCCCGCTCAGCCCTATCTCACCTGTCATTAGTCCATGTGTTTCCATAGGGAATGGGACAAGGACCCCGCTCAGCCCTGTATCACCCATCCAGGGCACTGGCACCATGAGCATCCCCAGGATGCAGCATTCCTGGAAGGTTTTCCCTGGCACATGGAGCCTTCCTGTCCCCGCCGGCCACCAGCACATCCCGGCTGGGATTTAAGGATATTCCTAGACATTTCCTGCTGGATTATCCATGCCAAAGCTCCCCTGGCCTGGATCTGCTCCGAGCATCACAGCACAGCCTTCAGGAGCTCTGGGACGCAGCAAGAGAGGGGTTTGGATGGACTGAGACAGCCAAATCCATGGGGGGACTGGGAGCAGCGGGACGGGAGTAGGAGACGCAGCATTCCCGTATCCCGCCTGGCACCAGCCAGCACTAATGGGATGTGTGCAGTGACTGGGGAGCTCGTTCATCAGCCTCTGATGGGATCTGGGAAAATTGAATTCCCGGCCATCTGCAGCTGGGAAAGGAATTAAATTTGGGACAATGCTCCGGGGCGAGGCAGGGGCTGGCAGAGCCTTTCCTCAGGGAATTTGCTCCGGAGGCATCAGCACCTCTTGTATGTTCCATAGAAAAGAGGGCTTGGATGTGGGATCCAGCTCTCAGGCACCGGGAAGGGGTCTGGGAACGGAGCGGGTCTCACTGCTCCAGTGGGGAAACTGAGTCTCAGGAAGCCCAAACCCACCCATTAAATGGTTCCCTATGGATAAGGGTTATAGCACTGGAGTTTAATGGATCCAAATTCCGTTTGGGAATCTGGTTTTCCAACCCCCTTGTCTATGGCTGGTCTCAAATCCATGCCCAGAGCCACAGGGATGAACCTACAGGATCTGCCTGAGCCAAAAAGCAGGGAGAAAATCCCTGCTCCTGCTGCCAGGGAGGATTCGCTTCTGGATTTGGCAGCATCCCGATGGAGCCGGGCTGGGAGCAGCGATTCCCTCTCTTGAGCCAAGAACAGGGAGTCTTGGAACCAGCCCTGCTCCCCATCTGCATCCCTCCATATCCACAGCGAGGTGGCTGCATCCAGCAAGGATCCAGCCCCATCCCACATCCATGGAGTCACCCCAAGAGGTGCTTTGGCTCCTCATCCTGCAGGGAGGAGCGTTCCCATGGATGCTCCAGCAAGGAATCAATAGAGCCGCGGGTCCAGCCCTCCCCGGGGCACCCTGACCCCCACTCAGTGCCACCAGCTCCCTGCTAAATGCCTCGGTGCGGTTCCAAAGAGCCGCGGATGGATGAGGGACCGGAGCGAGAAATTCCTCTCTTCCAGCAAATTCCAATGGTCAGCCCCCCCCTCCAAGCTCCCGACCTGATGATAGCAGCACCCAAACCACAGTCATCCCCTGCATGGGTGCAGCAGCAGCACCCAAACCCCATCTCCGTCCCTTGGGGTGCAACAAGAGCATCCCACATCCATCCAGTCTCTATCCTCACCCCGCATGTCTCTCCCTCCATGACCAGGCTATTCCCACATCCCAGCCCAACTTCCACATGCCTGGAGGTGCCCACAAGCCCGATGTGACCCCATGGGGCAGGGGAGGACCAGGCCCCACAGGCTGAGCACCCCCCAGATCACTGCCGTGGCACACACAGTGCCTGCACGGGGGGATGCTGCACCCACAACCCATCACTTCTTTTGCCGGCGTGCACACAGTGCTTTAGCCGTTGGGGACCCCTCAATGGGGAGCAATGGGGTGCGCATACCCCCCCCCCCCAATATGGGGGTTCTGTCTCTGCCCCCCCAGCTCGGTGGGGTGGGGAGGAAGCCGGCCCGGCCCCGCCCCATGGAAAGAAGCGCCCTTTGTTGAGCCTCGGCCCTTTTCCTCCCCTTTATGGCCCTGCCTGATGTGTTTGTGTCCGCGGGAGGAAGCACCGGGATGGGCGCCTGGAACACGCGTGTCCAGCTCGGATCCCGGCCCCACACATGGGGGTAGCCCCACAACGCGCCCCCCCAAGCCCTGCCAGCACCTCCTGTGGGGGTAGAATGATGGGGGGGGGACGGACGGGACAGAGCACCCAAATGGGGTCTCCCCAATGTGTGGGTGCAGCGTGGACACCCCCCAGCCCTATGGCACAGTGTGGACACCCCTAAACCCCTGGGCACACCATACCCCCCCCCCCCAAGCTCCTTCCTGCTTAACCAGGCTGCCAACACGTCCTCAATTAGGCTTTGATTCATGGACCAGTCAGCCCTTAATTGCATTGGGAGGAAGAGGAGGCACAGACATCTTCAGCCTCACCCCAGAGCGGGGTGTTTCGGAGGGGGGCAATGACCCCCAAGCCCTATATACCCCCATAGATACCCCCAGCACCCCCATGGCTCTAGTTGGGTGCTGGGACCCAGAGGGACTCCCCCCCCCTCCCCATAGGGAAAGCCGCTTTGCCCTGCCCTATAGAAGCCACCCCCTGTCCCTGTGCGGGGATGTCCCCAACCCTCGCAGGGGGCTCAGCGGACCCTGGGGCAGGGACCGGCCCCGCTCCGCTCCTTCCCCCTCCGTCAGCAGCTTTCGGCTGCTTCCCGTTTCCTTCCCTTCGCTTCCCAAAGCTCCATGGCTCTGCCTCGCTCCAGCCTTGACCCTGGAGCCCCCCCGACCCCCCCATCCCAACCCCAGCCCCACGGACACGGCTCTCGCCCCCCACCCCAAACCATGGGACACCGGGATCGGGGATAGGAGCAGGCGGACGGACGGAACCGCTCCAGGTTGGGGGGACCCCCCCGAGTCACCCCCTAAATCGGGGTGCGTCTGGAAGCACAGGAGCACCAAGGACCAGATGGGGGGCACCCTCCTGCCCCCCAGTGTGGAGCTGGTGCAAAGAGGGAGATGAGGGCTCAAGCAGGGTGTTGGGGGGGGGTCTAGGGGACACCCCCTTTCTCATCACCCCCCTTCTCAACACCCCCCACCTTAGCACTGGCCCCATAGGGAACACGCTGCCGGCAGAGCGGGGCAGGGGGACACAGAGGGGACCCCAACTCCCCAGCCCCGCATTCCCAGCCTCTCCCAAGCACTTCGCACCCCCAAATCCATACAACCCCCATAGGGATCCCCTCCCCTTTACACCGACACCCCCACCCCCATTTCCCGGTGACCCCCCCGCGGGTGGCTCACGGTGTCCTGGAGGGTGCCCATGGCGCGGCCCCGGCTCCCGGCTGCGCGGATCCACCGGGATCGACACCGGGATCGGGATCGGGACCGCCCGGTCCAGCCCATTTCCTCCGCCCCCCCCCCGCCTCCTTCCTCCGTGGGACACGGAGCTCTTCGTGTCCCTGAGCCCACGGGGGGGGCACACACGGACACGGCGCTTCCATCCCCACCACGGGACCCCCCCCCGGCCGCTCCGTGCCTCAGTTTCCCCATTGGGCTCTCCCGATGAGAATAGGGGTCCCGCAGCCCCCGGTCCCGCTGCAATGAGCACAGCGGACACCCCCACATCCCAGGATAAACCCGGGGACCCCCCCAGAGCCCGGCGCACCCATCCCACACGGGTCCTGGGTCTGGGGTGGGAAGGGAGGATTGGGGGTCTAGAGTGAGATGGGGGTCTCGGATGGGATGGGAAGCGGTCGGGATGGGGGCCCTGGGGGAGATGGGAGGAGGATTAGGGACCTGGGTGGGGTGGGAAGTGGCTGGAATGGGGGTCGTGGGTGGGAAAGGAGAAGGATTAGGGGTCCCGGGTGGGATAAGAGGAGGTTGGAATGGGGGTCTAGGGTGGGATGGGAGAAGGATTTAAGGTCCCCGGTGGGATGGGAGGCGGTCGGGACGGGGATCAGGGTTGGGAGGGGAGGAGGATTAGGGGTCCTGGGTGAGAACGGAGGTGAGTTGGGGGTCCCTGCTGGGAAAGGAAGCAGGTCGGGGGGGTCTGGATGGGGTGGGAGGCAGCCGGGATGGAGATCCCGGTTGGGAAGGGATGAGGATAAAAGGTCCTGGGAGGGATGGGAGGCGGTCGGGATGGAGATCCCGGTTGGGAAGGGATGAGGATAAAAGGTCCTGGGTGGGATGGGAGGCGGTCGGGATGGGGATCCCGGTCCGGAAGGGAAGCGGCTCGGGGGTCTCGGGTGGGATGGGAGGAGGAGGAGCAGGGGACCTGCTTGGGAAGGGAGCGGTGGGGATGGGGATCGGTTGGGAAGGGAGCATGGGGTGAGCCGGGGGGGGGGGTCCCGCCGCCCCTACCTGCAGCACCTCGGAGCCGGGCGCGGCGTCCTCCGCCTTCAGGAAAACCTGCTGGCCCCGTCTGAAAAAGTGAAGGAGCGCGGTGAGGAGATGCGGGAGCCCCGGCACCATCCCGGACCCCGGCTCCAGCTCCGGATCCCGGCTCCGGATCCCTGATCCCGGCTCCCGGCTCTGGATCCCGGCTCCCGGCTCCGGATCCCTGATCCCGGCTCTGGATCCCGGATCCCGGATCCCTAATCCCGGCTCCGGATCCCTGATCCCGGCTCCCGGTTCTGGATCCCTGATCCCGGCTCCGGATCCCGGCTCCCGGATCCCGGCTCCGGATCCCGGCTCCCGGTTCTGGATCCCTGATCCCGGCTCCCGGCTCCGGATCCCGGCTCCAGCTCCGGATCCCTGATCCCGGCTCTGGATCCCGGTTCCCAGATCCCGGTTCCCGGCTCCCGGCTCCGACCAGGGCTGAGCCCCGCCACCGCCTCCCCCCCGCCCCGCTCCGCCCCCCCCCGCCCCGCTCCGCACCGCACCCGTTGCGAGGCAGCGGCCCCGCGGGCTCCTATGGGGCTGGAGAGGGGGGGGGAGAATCTCTGAGGGGGTCCCCTATGGGGCAGATAAATGGGAACCCCCATAGGGTACCCTCCGCCCCGCTCCGTCCCCTCCCGACCCGCTCCGCATCGCGTTCACACGCTCCGATGGGGATGAGGAGAGCCCTGTGGGGGGGTTCTGGGGTAGGCGGGGTCTCCTATGGGGCAGGTAAGGGGGAGCCCCCCATAGAAACCCCCCCGCCCTGCTCCGCACCGCGTCTACTGCGGGACAGCGGCTCCACGGGCTTCTATGGGGCTGGGGGGCCTCAGAGGGGGTCGCTTTGAGGCAGAGAAGGGGAATCCCCCCTAAATCCCATGTTGAACCCCTGGTGGGGTTTGGGACACCTTCATCAACCCCCAACACCCCTCTTCAGACCCCTTCTTAGGGGCTGTTTCCTAGGATAAGGTTGGGGTCCCCCCCCCCCAGTCCTCCCCAGCGGGGAGCTGGAAGCTTCACCCCATTTGTAAGCAGCGATGCCCATTCCTGGCTTCGGGGTGGCTCTGCTGCAGGGCTCTGTATGGAGAGACCCCATCTTCCCTCCCATCCCTGGGGAATATCACAGAGAGCATCCCCTTCTTGGATAGGGGGGACCTCTATTTTACCCCCCCCCCACGGGTGCACCCCCATCTTCCTATCCCCCATCACCATCAGTGGGAAATGGCCCCTCCCCATCCTTTCCCCAGGGACAAGCACCAGGATTTTGGGGGTGCTGCTCCCCTGCATGGGCTGAGCCATAGAGGGGACCCTTGGGACCACCCCACTGCAGCGTGCAGGGGGAAGAGGGGTGCTAAAAGGATGCTCCATCACCCAACATCCCCACCCCAAAGCGACGGAGCCTCAGGGTGGTGTCCAGATAAAAGAGGGAGGAGAGGGATGTGCCAGCAACGACACTGCTGCTCCTGCTCCTCTTGTCTCCCAGGAGCTGCTCAGCACCTCCTCCCCAGCCAGTTCCCCAGCCTCGCTTATGGATGGGGTGGGAAATCCATGGGGATCAGGGCCCTTTGTGGGGTGCCCAGCACCCCTTTCTCCCCGGCTGTGCAGCTCTGGTGCACCGATGCTGCGTGCACAGCCGCGCTATCAGACATCAGAGAATACACACCCGACACGCGCGACCCCCGGTGGATGCAGGAGCTGCAGAGGGGGAGCTTTCACCGGGGTGAATGGGAATGTGGCCTCACATCTCCCAGGAGCCAAGGGTCCTGCTGCTCCCCTGGGTGCTGGGGGGATTCGCTGGTGGCTCGTAGGGGCTCAACCCCCAGCATGTCACTGGGGAGACACCCCCATGAATCCACCGGGTGACGGAGGCAGAAACATCCCTGAGGGGATGCAGGGAGATGCTCCTGGGTGCCCCCACCCCTGTGAGCATCCCCCATGGGGACATGGGCTTACAGGGAAATGCCCCCCGAAGCACCCTTGGGTGGCACCGCCAGGGTCCCTGTGAGTCTGGCAGCAGCAGGGTCCTGCTGTGTGCTGCAGCCTACACCCCAAACCTGCACCCCTGTGTGGCACCCTGCACCTCCCACATTGCACCCCACATCCTGCTCCCTGCACCTCACATCCTGCATCATTCTCTCTACACCCCACATCCCGTTCCCTGCACCCCACATCCCGTTCCCTGCACCCCACATCCTGCACCCCACATCCTGCTCCCTGCACCCCACATCCTGCACTCCACATCCTGCTCCCTGCACCCCACATCCTGCACCCCACATCCTGCTCCCTGCACCCCACATGCTGCACTCCACATCCTGCTCCCTGCACCCCACATCCTGCACCCCACATCCTCTCCCTGCACCCCACATCCTGCACTCCACATCCTGCTCCCTGCACCCCACATCCTGCACTCCACATCCTGCTCCCTGCACCCCACATGCTGCACTCCACATCCTGCTCCCTGCACCCCCCATCCTGCACCCCACATCCTGCTCCCTGCACCCCACATCCTGCACCCCACATCCTGCTCCCTGCACCCCACATCCTGCTCCCTGCACCCCACATGCTGCACTCCACATCCTGCTCCCTGCACCCCACATCCTGCACCCCACATCCTGCTCCCTGCACCCCACATCCTGCTCCCTGCACCCCACATCCTGCTCCCTGCACCCCACATCCTGCACCCCACATCCTGCTCCCTGCACCCCACATCCCTCTCCATGCACCCCATATCCTGCTCCCTGCATCCCCATATCCCGCAGCCCCCCCGCTCCCTGCGGAGCCGCGGGGCCATCTAGCGGCCATCGCGGGGGGCTCCCACCGGCCAGACCCCGCCGGGCCCCGGGGACAGCGGCCCGAGGGCAGGGACCGCGTCCTGCCAAGGAGGGGTGGCACAGGGTGATGGGGACCAGCCCTGGGTGATGGGGACCAGCCTCTGGTCATGGCACAGGGTGATGGGGACCAGCCCTGGGGGTGGCACAGGGTGATGGGGACCAGCCCCAGGGGTGGCACAGGGTCATGGTCACCTCACTCCTGTCTTCCCCCTTTGCCAAGGTTCTTCCTCCACCCCAGCCTCAGTTTCCCCACATCACTGAGTGGGAATTGCCCAGATCCAGACTCTCTGGGATTCATCACTATGGAAAAGGCCATAGCCCCACCGAGGGTTTGGGGTGCTGGGTATGAGCCCCACCGTTCCCTCCCCATCGCAGCAATCAGGAGTCAGCTGCATGGAACCAGCTGTCATCATTCCCATTGCTCTGACCAGGGCCTCATGGACCAGATCCCCACGATCAATCCTTAAGGTCCCCATCTCTGAGGACCCCCCCATGAAGGTTGCCCCTGAGCATCACCTCTGCCTCTGCCCCATGGGTCAGACGTGGGTCTGAGCGTGAAGCAGGTCCCCCCCATGGGGCTGGCACCCAGTGTCCCCCCCCCAGGGGCTGGCACGTCATTGTCACCAGCACCATGCACGGAGCCAGGCCCCAGCTGCTCGGAGGACAGAGAACCATTGCTGAGCAGCACAAGGACGCAGTGTGGGGATGTCCCTGCTTCCCTGGCACCCTGCGGGCCTCGGGACAGTGGGGCAGGACACAGGGATGCTGGGACATGGGGGGCCTGGGGATGGGGCAGGGAGACATAGGGATGCAGGGACACGGGGATGCGGGGGGACGGAGATTGAGGATGGCACAGTGTGACACAGGGATGCAGGGACACAGGGATGTAGGGACATGGGGGGCCTGGGGATGGAGCAGTGGGACATAGGGATGTAGGGACACAGCGATGTAGGGACATGGGGTAACTGGGGACAGTGAAGGGGGACACAGGTGCAGGGATACAGGGGGATTGAGGATGGAGGATGGCACAGTGTGACACAGGGATGTAGGGACACAGGGATATAGGGACATGGGGGAACTGGGGACAGTGAAGGGGGACACAGGTGCAGGGATACAGGGGGATTGAGGATGGAGGATGGCACAGTGTGACACAGGGATGCAGGGACACAGGGATGCAGGGACACTGGGATGCAGGGACACTGGGATGCTGGGATGCTGGGATGCAGGGACACTGGGATGCAGGGATGCTGGGATGCAGGGACACTGGGATGCAGGCATACAGGGGGAGTGAGGATGGAGGATGGGGCAGTGGGACACTGGGATGCAGGGACACAGGGATGCAGGGGCACAAGGGTACAGGGACACTGGGATGCAGGGACACAGGGGGATTGGGGATGGGGCAGCAGGACACAGGGACGCAGCTTTATGCAGCTCAGCCAGCGTGCATGCAGCAAAGTGCATCTCCCCATCCAGCTTAATGACCCGGTGTAATTATGGGCTGCTCCGGTACAATTAGGAGCGGCTCCAGCTCACTGGCTCACGCAAGCCCTCGGGAGCAGCATCCCTCGGAAGGGAACGTCACGGCCGGATGGGGGACACGCAGCACCAGCACAAGGAACAGAGCCAGGGAGAGGCAAAGGAGCGTTTCCCATCCTTGCTCCCGACGTTTCCATTCTCTCCGTGGTGTTTTCCCTGCTTCCCACTTGGCTGACATCCTGTCCCTGCCCAGCGATCCGGGCATCCAGCCCTGCTCCACTGAGGGTGTTTAATGGCTTAAGAGGGAGCAAAGTTCATGCAGTCAATGTTAACCCTTACTTCACAGCAAGCACACCAGGAAAAGCCTCTTTTGGGGGCTTAAATCCCAGTTTTCCTGGGAAAGCGGGAAGTGCCGGCACCAAACAGCATCAAAGCACCAAAGCCAAGGGATTTGGGGGGTCCTCATAGCCCAGGTAGCCCCAGATCATCAGCACCTTCCTCCCCACAGCCAGCCCCTTTGAAGCTCCTGGGTAAGGGGGGAGCTGCAGGAAGCTGCCCCTAGAGCAGGATTTGGGGTGTACTGGGCATACTGGGAGCACTGGCGTGCTTGGTCCATGGGCTGCTGCTTGCCAGTGCTGCTGTCAATCGTGTCGGATGAGTGTGGCTTCATTAAGCTGGAGCTGGGATGGAGGGAGGGAGGGAGGGAGGGAGGGAGGGAGGGAGGGAGGGAGGGAGGGAG